CTGGCCGCACCACGCTGCTTCTCTGGATGCGCAAGAGAGTTTTGGTCCCCTCTACCTTCCCTCCGCATCCTGGCCGTCTCCTGATCTTCAACCTGCTTGCTCCACCGGATGAAAAAAGTCAGCTCCTCTTTCCCATTTCTCAGGCAACTCCATTTGTGTCGCACTGCTCACCTCTCTGCTGGGCTTCTCCTAACCTGCGCAGCCCAGAAAATTGGCCAAAACAGTTAAAGGTCCCAACAGGTCAATGCTGGATGTCACCCCGGGGTACCCAAACAGCAACGTGCCGCTGCGCAGCGAACGCTCCAGTGTCGGGGCACTACTGCAAAGCCCAGGTTTCCCATTTCTGCTCTCTGAACACCCCTGCTCGACATGCAGGGGTAGCTGAGGTTCTCTGTGGTGGGTTTCAAAACGCAAATGAGCTGCTCTTGGTTCAGAAGGACCTCCCTGAACTTTGGCCAAGCAGCCCTTTTGGGAGCTTTCCAAACCCCCGTGGCTTAGGAATATTATCTCGACTGCAAGTTCCGCACATCTCACCCGGCAAGGATGAGAGCCGCCCCGAGAGGACCCCCGAATGGCCGCGGGCAGAGCCGGTGGCTGGGCTGTGCCGGTCAACCCCTCCTCAACCCTCTGGCTTCTGCAACCGGATGGAGCGACCACGGCCAGTCAGGCACGGACCGAGGACCGGGAGGGCACTCGGGGGACTCGGTCTGCGCTCAGCTGTGCCGGTCACGTGCCGGCAGCCGCTCGGCAATGGAGAAGCTGCGAGTCAGGTTCGAGCCGAGTTCACCCCGTATCTCTACAGAGGACGAGCAAATCATCTCCACATGGGCAAAAGGAGAGTGTGGAGGAGAGGGGGAAGGCTGCCAGCGCAAGGCTGCGGTTCAGATCCCTCTTGACAGCTCCCCGGCAGCCCCCACATCGCCTGTCATTCCACAAAACAAACTTCAAAGTAAACAAGGCGCCCAGGACCCAGCCGTTGCAGCCACTCTATCATCGTTCAGGAGTATTTTTCCTTCCCCCCCGCCTTCTCCTGGGCCATTGCATTTACACGAGCTGCCCGGAGCTGGATTTACAGGGCAGGTGCCTGCGCAAAGCGCAGGAGAGCTGGCTGGGCCCCAGGCAAAAGGGGAAGAGGAGAGTTTCACAAAAGCCTTCAGATTGTGGTTTTATATGATAGGGACTGCAGAACAACATCCATCTTCAGGCTTAACATTTCATCTCTAGATCAACAGTCCGTTCCTTCCCCCACGTTCAGCTGCAGCTGCTGGCTTATCTCTCCATTAAAGCATTTTCCTCTTATTGCGCAGTTTCACATGAGGAGGAATAAATGCCAGATGGGTCTCCCCTCCAGGTCACCATGCTGCAAGCCCCGGTCTACGCCGCAGCCCAGGGCGACACTGGATTCTGCAGTCAGGGATTCATCGCAGGCCAAAAACACGAACTTTGGAAAGTCAAGGCCAAGAATGAATACTCTGGGGGACAAGATTTCCAAACAGGAGGACTGAGAGTTTGCCTCCTTGGAAATTCCCATGCTGGAAGCACAAAGGTGCTGAGCGGAGACGCCTTAAAAAGTGCCTGAAGAACCAATTTTCAAAAGCACCTAAGGAGCTGGAGACCCCAAGGGGCGTTTTTGAAACCGGCCGAGATACTTTGGAGCGCAGGGGTGGGATGGAGCAGAGCGTGCCGGGGGCCTGCAGCCCTGCAGCTGCAGCTGAACGCAGCACAGGGCTAGGGAAAACACGGCGGCCACGCCATCCTGCCCAAAAAACAATAGCAAAAAAGCAGCGTTGGAGGCTGAGGTCTCCCCACGTGGAAATGCCGCCATCGGCCTCGGGTCAGGTACCCGGCTGCCTGGAGGAGGAGGTGATGGTCCTTGCAGACTGGTTTTGCAAACACCTTTTTATCTGGTTCCTCTTAACCACAAGCGGTCAAACTGCTGGAGCGACTGGCTCCTGTCTACCTGCCCAGCAGCCGCAGCCAAGACCTCGCCAAGGTTCACCTCCTTTGCTTCACAGCATGCCGGGACCCTCGCCCTTTGCAGGGATGCTGTGGGTGCTGCCGTGCTTACACAGCCTGTCCTTCCTTTCCACGTCAGGCTGTGGCCGTGCCTGCCCGGCTCCTTGTCCCTGCCTCTCCCAGCCACCCCGGGGAAGTGGGCAAGCCCTGGTATTTTTATTACCATTCCCAGTGCTGCCAAGCGCTTGCGTCAGTGGCCAGGAGGAGGCTGCGCTCCCTCTTACGGAGTGCAGGGAAGATAAGATTGGACCGCTACGTCTTCAGAGGATGCTGCCAAACTTCAGAGAATTGATGGAGCGTCTTCCCGGCAGCATCCTTGGATGTCTGTGTGTCACCAGCTCTTCCCAGCAGCACCAGCCGCAGGAGATCACAACCAGACAGGGGCTTGGAGGTCACAACCAGACACGGGCTGTCCAGGCAGCAGCACTCTGCACCCCCCACTAATATTTCGGTGGAAGTCCCAGTACGGGAAAGATGAGCCGGGAGGGAGCGTGTGGGAAGCAGTTTGTGCTGTGCCCACAGGAGATGCGTATTTGGCAAAGGAGGGGAACCGAGGAAGCATCACCGTCAGCGTGAGCCACCAATGGAGCCCGGTCCATCTCCTCGGTGCTTAGGGCCATGGCACAAATGGCATTGCCAGCAGCTTGGGTGACAAGCAGCGATGTCAGGGAGCTGCTGCGCTCTGAGGAGCTCCCTATCCCAGGGAGAGAGCGGCTCACGGCGTTTTCCGATGCGTCTGAAGTTTGCCGGCGTGTCACCGTGGTTATTTAGCAATCTTGCCAGAGGCCAAAGGAAAGGCAACAGCCTTCAAGCCATGCCCTGCCTTTGAGCCGTCCCCTGCCCTGCTGCAAGGCGGAGGGAACCAGCAGCCAGCGTGGAAGCAGCTCCGTTTTTTACAGCCACGATCAAAGCGCTCCGTGCCGAGAGATAACCTCCGGCAGGATCGACCCTGCCCCAGCTCCGTGGAGCGATGCCACTTGGTTGGTGCGTCCAGACAGGAGGCTGCGGTGCTGGCTCATCATTCAAAGTCCTGCTCGGAGGAGCAGACCCTGCACTCCCTTCAGGCTCTTCCAGCTTATCTCTTGTTCCCGACGTGCTGAAGGAAAGGGGGTGGCCAGCGGACGGACTCTCACCGCTCCAGCTCAGAACTGTCGGGGATCAGCCTTAGGGCGAAACGAGTGGCTTCTTGTGCCACATCACCCCCCAAAAAATGCCATCTGGGGCTCATGGTGGCTGCCAGGGGAAGGCAGAATTGGGGACACGAGGCTGTCCTTGGAGTCCCTTTCCCCGTCCTCCTGGACTCTTTTCCAGCAGCTGCTCTGCTGCAAGGTGCTTCCAGGCTGCAAAAATGCACAAAGAGGCTCCCTGGGCTTCCCGGTGCCCCTTGGAAAAGGCCATCACCAGCGTTTGAAGGAAAGCCAAGGGTGAAGGCTCCAGTTGTCAATCGGAGGGGGTCAGAGCGAAGGGGAGAGGATTCGCCTGTGGCCACCGAACCAGACGGTGGCAGAGAGAGGAGGTTTTCCGTCCCGTGTTCACCTCCCAGCGGTGTGAGAAATGCTAACAGAAGCACTCGGGCTGCTTTGTTAATAAAAGTGCATTTATGACCACTAAAGGCAAAAATCCTTCACCGCTTTGGTGCTGGGGCAGGGTGCCACCACGCCGCCAGCTAAGGTGCTGCTGAAATTCAGGGGCACGTCTCCAGCGCTGCAGGAGATGCTGCTCTTTGAGTTTTGCAGACAAGGCTGAGTTTGGGATAAATCTAAACCCCTGATTTTTCCCGAGGATTTCACACACAGCAATGGTTATATTTTATCAAATCACACAGTCCAGAGCAGAGCCCAGCAATATGCAGGGCAGCTGCTTCCCCAGCTCTCCGACAGCCCCTCCAGGTACCTGCCACGCTTTCGTTTTAGGGATGTCTCCTTCCGTATCACACCACCACAACCCAGCTTTCCGCTTACAAAAATGCCTTCAGCCCCTCCAGCTCCACAGGCCGCTTCCCTCTGTTCAGCTCTGCCTGGATTCACTCACACTCGGACACCTCCCTTGATCTACGCAATTAAAATTACACAACCACCAGAGGAGAGCAGCAGCCCTGTCTTCTCCTGGAAGCCCTAGCAAGGTGGTCAAAAGCAAATGATGTTGGACTAGATGATCCTCCAACTGAAATTATTCTATTCTATTCTATTCTATTCTATTCTATTCTATTCTATTCTATTCTATTCTATTCTATTCTATTCTATTCTATTCTATTCTATTCTATTCTATTCTATTCTATGTATTTGGTGGTGTGGACCCTCCTGAAGGCACCAGGTTGCCACCACCAGCAGAGCAGAGCCCAGCACCCTGGCCATGGCAAAGACAGGCACAGCCATGCAGCGTAACCACAGGCGTGGGCTCCCTTGCACCAAAAAGCGGGTGCCCCACCGCAAGAGCACACAGGGCTTGCTCGCAGCTCCCCGCGTAACGGCTACAGGACGGCGTGCCCGCTCCTGTCCTCATCTGATCTGTTCTTCACGCCGGGAGCAGGACCTTCACTGCAAAGCGAAGCTCCTCGGGTTAATTCTGCTGGCCCGCATGTCCCAGAAGGACAGGGCATGGGGTGCTGTCATCTCCTGGGCAGCCTTGGACATCCCTTGTTTCTTGAAAAAGCATCCCAACCACCAGCAGCTCGTCCTTTCTGCCTCTTCAGCCAACAGCTCATCCCTTCTTCCTTCTCGTCCCTGCCATGTCACCAGGTTAGATCAAAGCTAAAGACTTCTGTCCCTCTATTTGCACAGCATTCCTTTGCAGGACACCTCTGCGGTCCCGACTGATCATCTCACCTGGTGCTCACCAGCCTACGTGACACCGACACCACGATGCCCTTTCCCAGCCCACCCGTCCAGAACCCCACCTCGCGACTGAACCCACCCTGCCTCCAACACGGTCAAAACAGAGCCGAGAGGAAAGGAAAAGTTGGAGAAAACCGGAAAAGCACTTACTTCTCGTAGTCGTGTTTGCAGTAGAGCTGCCGGTTGCGACAGTAGCAGGTCCCGGAGAGCGGCTGCAGGCAGACGGCGCATTTCACGCAGCCTTCGTGCCAGGAGCGCTCGTTGACTCGCAGGAGGAACCGGTCGGAGATGGGGGTGTCGCAGCCGGCGCACACCTCCCGCATCTTGGAATCTGAACCTGGGCAGCAGGGAAAAGACGGCGTGAGGATGAGTTTTCCTTTGCCGGGGGGGATCGTGCTCTGCCTTTTGGGAGGGTGATGCTTAGCCTCAGATAACTCCTTGCAATCATCTACTGTTGGTTTTTGCCTTTTTTTTTTTAAGCCATGGGGTGTTGGTGTAGGAGAGGGAGCAGGGAGGCTCAGCATGCAGGTTTTTTGTGGCAACCTTGAAAATAAATGTCAAAGTTGGCTCTGCAAAAGCAGCAGGTTCTGGGTTTCTCTGCAGGTGGTAAATTCCTGGTGAACCCCAAGCCCACGGCTCTGGCACTGTATAAATGGCAGAGGACAAGGAGAACACATATTTGTGAACCAGCGAGCAAATATATCCTGTGTCTCAACAGGAGGCTGCGGGTGCTGAGCTGGTTGGAAACCTTGGTCCAGGTTGGAAACCCGTGTCTGAATTTTGTCCAGTTTCACCCCAGATTTGGCGCCAAGAGCTGCTTAAAAAAGCTCCAGAGCTTTGGGATTTTTTTCCTCCTGAGTGTTATCAACATGTAAATCTATGGCTGCTCTTCAAAGGCTTCGTCCTGTTAACTTCAAGGTAAAGGAGTGAGTAATAAATACGCTATCTGGTGCGCTGGATCTGGGTTGCAGGCTGAGCCAGGCAGCGGCACCCTCTCCGATGTCCCCAGTCTCCACCCTGCCAAGCTCCTTGGGTTTTACGAGCCTTTATCTCTGTACTCTCCAGCTTCTCGATGCTGTTATCCTCCTGTAAGCTTGGAGATCCTGGGGTGACACCTGCCCAAGCCCCCTCAGACAGTTGAGGGGGACGATGGCATCCCATGGATGAAGCTTACGGCTGTTTTAAAAGGCGGTGAGCTGCCAAGGGCAACCAAGGTCTTCTGCTGCACCTTGGAGCAACACTAGGTGAGGGGGAACACTAAGCCCGGCTCTAATTTGGGCACTGTCCCAGGGCAAGGAGTCAAAGGCAACACGTAGCCGTGGCAAACAGCAGAAGACGCATTCCAGTGGAGAACCGCGCAACTCTGCGCAAGGCTGGGAGACACGGAGGAGCTCTGACCCGGCAGCATCTCCAGCCAAAGGGGATTTTCTGCTTCTCCAGGAACAGGCAGAGACTTTCCCATCCCTGCAGATTTTCTCTCCCAGGCTCTGGGAAGCAGCCCTTACACCTGACCACACTCCTCTGCTGATGAAATCCTGGCCAGGACCCTGAATCAGCCCCTCAGCAACTTGCTTTCCAGCTCCTGGGGACTCAGCAGGCTCAAACTGGTGGTAGGAGGACGGATGAGTGGAGCATGGAGCAGGCAGGACCACCACAGCGCAGGCAAAATACAGGCAGCCAGAAAGTATCCGCGAGCGGGAAGCTTTCTGAACACTTTTTCTGTCCAATTTGACCTACAGATGCTTTCCCAAAGTCCTGAAATCATAAGAAACCACAGCAGATTCTCTCTGCCTTGAAGGACACTGCTGTCATTACACCAACGCAAGAGGGACAGTGCGGGAAGCAAATTTGGCTAATTTGGGCTTTCTATGCGCCTGAAAATGGGGGTGTCTGGTGCAAAGGCACTTTCTACCCCACTTCATTGCGGTGCTTGGGTTTGGGTCCTGCATCTCCAGCATCCCAGCCGGCACCGTGGCCCGCGGAGCCTGCAGACGCGTGCCTGGGCGATGCCGCACGTTGCGGCAAGCCGAGTCCTTTGCAGCTCCCAGGCTCGGCACAGCTCGTTCGTTAAGTGCTGGGACCTGGAAATAGGGTGGCGGCATCAGCTGGAGAGGACCAGACCCTGAGAGCTCTCCTGCAGGTCGGGATCCGGCAGATCAGGGGTGGAAATGAGGATTTGAGCACAAGAAGAGGAAAAACGAATGTCTGCCGTGCTGCTGGAGGTGCCGGGGCAGCCGCACAGAAGTGCAGCTCTGTAATGCCGGGAGGGTGGCGTGGACGGCCCAGGCAAGAGCAACCGCGTCCCAGGGGCTGCGGGCACGTGCAGAGGTTCTCCGTGGATGCTTATCCCACGCTGAGCCTCCACTTCTCACTTTTGCCTCCGTTATCAACTTCTGGAGCCAAATATTTTCACCCTACTTGACTTTGACCCCATGGGCTGTGTGTCACCAGGGGATCAGCCAAACCTTCAGTGGGTTAGAGACATCTGGGACTAAAAATCCCCAGCTCCTCTTTAATTTAGGGGGAAAAAGCAGGGAATAATCTAACAGTAAATTAATCTGAGAGGGGATGGTTAAATTGCCAGGGAGCTCTGGGAATGTGGGATCAGTCTAAAAGGGAGAGACAGAAAACTTCAGCCCGGGGACGTTCGGCCCTCCCTCTCGCCCAGCGAGCGGGCAGGACGACGCCAGGGACTCGGGATGGTGGGAGGCAGCAGAATCCTGCCCGCTGCCTGCCCGTGTCGGGGCTCGGGCTGCACAGGCAGGGCCCGGAGCGGAGGATTTCTGCCCGGCAATAAGTCACACCCGAGTCTCGCTCGGCGCAAAGCCACGAACACGGTGATGCCATGACGCAGCGGGAGACGAGCGAGCGATCCTGAGCTCCAGGGGGAAGAGGGGATGTGAAAAATCCCGGGAAAACTGTCGGCTTGTCTGAATCCCACGGCAGCAAGCCAGGGAGAAAGAGGCAAAACTGAAAGTAAAGGAGATTCTGCCTTACGCTGCCCTAAAGACATCAGGCGTATAAAAACGCAACAGTTTGGCCGCGCAAATACGTTAAAGACGAGCGATCCCAACCCACCATGTTGTGGCTCTCTGCGAAAGGGAAAAGGGACAAAGAGGGGGACAGGACCCAGCACTGAGGTGGGGGGGAGGCAGCTCAGGTGCCTCTTCCCAGTGTTATCCAAAATTACCCCCCCACACCCAGGCCCTCCCACGGCACGTGAACTCCCCACCGGGTCTCCCGGGCAGGTACCCTCGCTGTAATTTAAAATTTGGGTCAGCAAAGCCGGTTGTCGCCCGTGGCCGGGGTGGCCGAGGGCCACGCGACCGCAGCCTGGCCCTGCACGGGGTGGTCCCTAAAATCAGCGAAGGGCCGGGATGAACTGAGGCTCCGAAGGGGCTCATCCCGGAGGTCGGGACGGACTATGGATGGATGCTGGCGGGGTCCCTGTCCCTTCCGGGCTCGGTGCCTTGCGCCTTGCTGCGGCCGGTGCTGTCTGCCGTTAAGGACAACCTCAGCCCACGGAGCCGCCGCCGCTTTGGGGTTGCAAGATGGCATTTTGCAGCGTGCCAACGTCTTTTGCCGTGGCTTTGGCTGCCTCAAAACTGGCAAACCTCAAGGCCGGGCTTAGCAAGGGGGGTGCTCCCTCTCCCCTGGTCACCCCCACAATCCAGGGGGGGAAGGAATCTTCTTCCCGCGTGGGGAATAAACGCCGCGGAGGCGCGGGGAACACCGCTGATGGCAGATGGGATGGTACGGTTGGGGGAAAACGGGCAGCGCAGGCAGGGCCGGCTGGTCCCGCTGCAACTTGCAGACACGCAGAG